TGTAGGTGACTAATTAGATAATATAGTAGAAAGGTCAAATATTTTCTAAATAGAAGTATGCAATAGTAGTAGATTGAGTAAAAAGTTAGAGATTGTTTTGACTGTGTATATTTGTTTAAAATTTTGTATTGTTGGTGTAATTTGTGTTTGTAAAGTTATTAGAAGTATAAGTTGTATATTGTTTAGCAATAATGCTAAGTTAATATCTTTAATGTTATTTAATATAAGTAGAAGTGCTTGTTTTGTTAGTTCTGTTTTATTGGCATTAGTTTTGTCTGCTTAATCTGTATTTTAAGTAAGAGGGTTTACAATATTAATCCAAGATGATGATAGTTTTTAAAGTAAAAGTGTTATCAAAGTGTTTTTCAATTTGAGTAAGTTGCAATGTTGTAATTAGTAATATGATGTTAAGTTTAGCAAGTTTTTGGCTATCAGTTGGTAAAACTGATTTGTCTGTAGAGTTTGCTTGCATTATGTAATTAGGTAATAGAAACTGAACATGATACCATTGAGAGATTTCTTCAAGAAATGCTTTTGCTATTATATTATCAATTATTGAATAGATAAAGTGTGAATCTGTATGAATAAGTTCAGTTTAAGTTGGCAAGAATGGTTTGGTAATGAAATATTCACTAGAAAGTAGTTTAAATATATAGTATTCTCTTAGTTGTGCTATAGTTTCAACTAATAATACTTTGGATATAAATGAGTTAAAGAGAAAGAGACCTCTGACTTTATAGTTTAGTTCCTAATATATAGTAGGCAATGATTTTTTAGATGATTAAAGCTGAAAATAGAAGGTTGAAATTGTAATAAAAGTATAATAGTCTGCAAATTTGTGTCTAAAATATGAAAGGTATTGTAATAATTGTCTATTTGATATTAGAAAATAAGTTTGTAGTTCTGAAAGAAGTTCTTGATATCTTTCAGGTAATGTAAGAAGTTTTGCAAAATAGTTGTCTGTTAATTCGTCAAACTTGAAAATTTTGTTTAGTTCATTAATAGTAGTCCTTGTATATGATCTTTGTGTAATTAGAAGTGTAAATAGTAGGATGGCTTTAATATATTCTGATATTTTACTGGGGTCTTGTGATAGTAATATAAGTTTTTCTTAAAATGCATTAGTAATTACAGCTCTAATTTTCTTGGGAGTTTGTTCATTTTCATTTTAAATTTGCAAAAAGCCTTTTGTATAGTAAATAGTTTTGTAGATCATGAAGGAAATGTAGCAGATAAGATTAAAATTAGTAAAGTATTGTGCAATAAGCATTTGTTTAAGCATAATATTGATAGTTTTGTATATAGTTGCATCTGTAATTGTAATTTAGTTGGTCTGTTTATATGTAACTAAAGTATTATTGTATAGATTAGCATATTTTTTTTAATGTGCAGAAGTAGTATTTGGGTTTTTAGTAAAGATAATGAAGAACCTGATGTTGAGGTATCTAAATTTAAGAAATATAGCAGATATAATTACAAATTTTGTTGGTATAGTAACAAGTTTATGATTAATGAAATCCTGAATGCCAGCTAGTAATTGAAGTACTTTGATAATTTTCTTATATAACCAAGTTTGTTAATTAAATAAGGTATTAATTTGGTCTGTAATTCTGATCTGTATAGTTTCTGCCTATTCTGAGTCATCAATATCATTAAACCTAGGTATGTTAAGTTGTTTTTGAGTAATTTGACTATATATAGATTTGGTGTTATCAAGATTGTCAGATATTGTGGTTGTAAAAATTGGTAATACTATAGCTGTAGTATTGGATGTTCTGGTTTGAATATTGTTTGTGTATTAAGTAGTTGAAGCTTAGATCATTTTTTACTTTAATGTTGATTAGGTGTTAATTGAGTTTTAAAAGATTTAGTTGTGAGTCTAATAGTTTTAGTAGGATTATGTTGTAAGACAAAAAGGCATTTGTTTCTTTTAGTATTAGTGTCTTGTGTTGCCTGAGCAGTGTTGTGTAATGTAGTAGCTAATGACTGTGTTTGTGTAGTATTTGCTGCAAAACCAGCAGTAAGGTTGAATATAAGCTTATAATTTTGTGAAATATTGCTTGTTTTGATAGTTCATCTTTTGTATTAAGTTTTGTGATCATATTATATAGTATAAGTAGAAGATCTTTGTTAAATTTGGGTGTCTTGAATTCTTTTTGAGTTTTTTTGTATATATAAATTGTTAAGTTAAGGCCACAACTGTATATATTTCTGTAATGTTTAGTGCTAATATTTATAGAGTTGTTTCTTGTTGTTGTAAGGTCAAAAAGTATTAATTAGAAAAATTCTTTGAATTTGTATAACTATTGGATTGGGAATGTAGTAAGATTAGATATACAATCAGATTTGGTAAGATCTACAATAAAGAGATATTTGTCAGTGAAGCTAAAAATAAGAAAAGTAACTAAAGATAAGTTTAGATAGGTCTTTTATAGTAATGTTGATAAATTCTTTTGCATACTCAATGAAAGGATTAGTGGTTAAAAGTGTAGATATAGAATTACTTAAACTGGTAGATTTTCTAGTAAAATAAGCTAATAAAGAAGAAAAGAAAGTGCCTTAAGAAGTTGTTTGGTTCAGAGTTTGTAATAAGTTAGTTTGTAGATTATCTGTAGTTTTTTTGCTATTTTTTGAAACTGCCATCTTATGCCTATATTTTAGGTTAATAAAGATGTAAAGGTCCTTAGAACCATTTTTACTGAAATTTAAGTTATTTGTTACAGTGTTGTTTTTAATATTATAGTAATTTAGAGCTGCTAGTAAAAATTTTTCTTGAAGTTTGAACCTTTTTTAGGTCAAGTTTACAGTATAGAACAAGATTAATTAATAGTTCAAGGTCAGTTTATTTAGTTGTTATTGCTCTATTTTTAATATAAAATTTTCTTCTTTTGTCTAATTTTGGTAAAGTAATCTACAAAAAGAGTTGCTCTTACACTCCTCATACCTCTTATATTTTTCTTCTTTTGTCTGGTTTTGGTAAAGTGATCTACAAAAAGAGTTGCTCTTATACTCCTCATACTTCTTATGTTTTTTTTCTTGCTTATTTAATTAGAATGTAGCTTATTTCTAATATTCTTAGAACTGTTTCTATTTAAGTTCCTTAATTATTCTATTTCATTTTTTTTCTTTAATTTTCTTTTTATTTTTTTATATCATTCTTTTTTAATATTGTCTTGTGGTTTATAAATCTTTTTTCAGCTTTCTGGCAATTCTTCTAATTTTGTATTTTTTTTCTAAATTGTTTCTTATAATGTTCTACTATTGTTTTTTTTATCTAGTTCTAATTCAATTACTAGTCTAGTTTCTTCTTCTGTTTGTTCAATTACTTTGTCAAGTATTATCTTCTTGTATAACTTGTTCAAAAGGCTAGCTATCATTTTTTCTTAGTTGGTTTTGATCATTTCACATCTTTTGTTTATATTATCTTCTATTTGTCTTTTTTGTTTTTGTTTTTATTCTTTTTTTTTTTCTTCTAAAGAATTTTTTGACAGTCTTTTATGCCCTCTATCCAAGCATCAAACCATTGTCTTTGAATTTTTGATAATTTTGCATTAATTTTCTTGTCTAATGTCTTGAGTTTTCTATTTATTTTTCTTTTATCTACTTCTATAACTCTTTGCTCTTTTTTGTTTTTGCATATTTGACTAGTTTTTAAAACTCTATAATAATTTTTTCTTGTTGTTAATCTTTTTAACTATGCCTTCTATTTATCATCATATTGTAAACTTTTTTCTTAGATATATGGTTGTTTGTTACTATTATAATTGTCTCTTTTATTATATTCCATATATTGTTAATTTTTTATATTTTTTTTTCTTTTTTTTGTATATTTTTTAAAGTTTCTTTTATTTCTAATTGTTTTTATAACTCTTGTGCATAATTTTTATATTTTTCTTTATTTGTCTTGTTATAAAGATATATTGTTCTTAATTGACCTTTTCTTTTGACTTCTGTCTTATTGCTTTTTACTATCATATACTTTATTCATATTTCTGTTATCACTATCTTGTAATCACTTTCAGTAATTTCTTCTATATTTTCAATTTCTATACTTTGTAAACCTGAAGCTAGTTCTTCTAATATCTATATATAGTCAATTCTTGTTGCTATTTCTGAATTTGACTATGTGTATTTTTGTTTAGTTAAATGCATTTCTTTATAAATATTATAGAAGTCTTGTCTTTTTATTTAACTAAATATTGGTAATCTTTTGTAACTTGTAGACTTTTACGACCAATAATCCCAGGAAACCCATTTTAGGTAGATGATCGACATAGCGTTACTGTGCCATATCGATCATTCCCTGCCACATGCTTCCGGGATTAAGTTTCCACTGCTCACAGTATGTAAATGGGTGTGACAAATATTATTGCTGTTGACACGAGCGAAACAGTGAGTCAGTCGCTTGTCAATCAGATATGTCGTGTAACCTATGAACGGCTTAGTCGAAAGAGGCGGTTAGATTTGGAGAGTGGTATATTTTATGGTCGTAGGTATTATAATACAGCGAAGGCAAGTAATTATTTAGGGACAAGTTTTATGATAAGCACTAACTGAACTGTTCTTGTAGGGCGCGAAGCCTTTATTATATATTGTTATATTACATATAAGCTCTTTAAGGTACTAAAAGTATTAAACGTATTATATCCCTTATATCCCTTTAACGTCCTTTATCACTTAAAACCCTTAAATCTCGTATATCCCTTTTACTACCGTTTTCTCTTAAAACTCTTATTGCTCCTATATCTCTTAACAGATCGAAAAGACTTATAGGACCGATAATTCTGGGAAGCCCATATTAGGTAGATGATCGACATAGCCGCTAATTGTTACTGCGCCATGTCGGTCACCTCCTTCCATGTGTTTCCTGGGTCATGTTTCACAGCTCACACTGTACAGTATATAAAATTCATTTGTACTGTATACATATGAATGTTTACTACCTCTTTGCCACTTTTGTAGAAAGTATTTAGATAATTGTTATATAGGCAACTTTTATAATGGATGAATATGGAATTCCTGGTTCAAGTTTTTCAACTGTAAGGATAAAAATAAACATCTTACATGAATAATTAGTATAAATGTTAATGTATTTTTATTTTTAGCCTGCAGGAAATAATTATCACGATTATGTTAACAAGAAGTCTTCAACTAGTTCGGCTTTTATCATTAACAACATGAATACAAATGTTGAAGATCAGGTCATTATTGATTATGTTAAGAAGTTTATGAAAGACTTTAGAAATCCATTAAATTTAATTATTTTAAGTATTTAGTTGAAGACCTTGAAATAGAGCCTTCTGCATCATTATTAGAATTATTGGTTGATGCACTTTTATTACTTAGCGATGCTTCTTTATTTAAATGCTACACAAGAAATACTATTCCACATTTAGAATTACATCTTCGAACTTGGATTGCCACCTTAGAAGTTGTATTTTATTCTCCTACTGTATTAACTCATGAAACTCGGGACAAACTTTATAGTAATTTAGATAAGTTTATTGACATTCACTACCGAGTAACAGAAATGTTTAGCCAAGGCGTTAATCATAGCTTTAAGTCTAAATTTAAACCTAAGGAGATTAATATTACTAGCAATATCTACATGCATTTTCCAAATTATAATATTAATTTTTTATTGATCCACTTACGTGATACTTTACACAGTATGCATGATGATGAAACTCAGTTAGATGAATTTTTATGACAATCTAAAGAAACATTTTAGCTCTTATTACTGGTGCTTCTAAAATACCTTCTGTTACTTATGGAAATGTTCCTACTGCATTTGATTTTACTAATAATACTTTACCAAGAATTATCAATGCTTTCAATGTTAAATATCCTATTGCTTACTGGTATCCAATATGGCATGAACTTTTATTAATGCATTATTCTTTAAAAACTTTGATTAAGGATCTAAATTATAATATTTTACGATTCTATAATGAGACTTATCTTCTTAAATCACTTTGGCAACATGCTTTTAATCAGGGGTATGAACAACAAAAACATGTTGATATTTTAACTATCCTGAATAATTATAAAGCATTTCGTGGATTGTGGACTAGAAAAGAACCAACCGCTCTACCAAACTCTCTATGGTTTGGTGTATTAGATCTTGCTTAAAATTTAAGTTATCAAACTGTTCAACCTGTTAATTTAACTCTTTGTTATTATTTAGGCTTGGAATTATTACAAAAATTCCAATGCTATTATATTAAATTCAAATCTTTAGAATTACTTATATCTCTTTCTTATCAGGAGCCTAAGTAATTTAAAGATGTAATACATGAAGAAATAGAGAAATTTGTCAAATTACTACCAGTAGATTTTCAACTAAAATTTAAAAACCTAATTTATGATATAAATCAAAAACTTCAATTAAGTAATGAATTTATAGAACAATTTAATATAAATTATGAAAAGAAATCAATAATCAAAAATAATATACTGGATAAAACATCTAATTCTTTATTAGAAATAATTGCAGAAAATTTTACCTGTAAGATTACTAAACAAATAACTGGAGATTTTCTTATTTTATCATGCTGTGGACACTCAGTTAGTCGTGATGCTATTAATAAGTGGAAAAATATTTCAATTTTTAAGAATAAATTATTTGAATGTCCATTTTGCAGAACTGAAATTAAGATGGAATCATTCTATAATCTTGCACAAAATACAATGGTAAAAGGCCTCTACAAAAGATTAGAGCAAGAAGGTTATTTAAATAATTTATTAGAAAAACAGCAAATGCCAACGAACAATAAGTATATGGCAGAAGATGATTTACTTTTAAAAATGAATAAAATGCATATATTTGGAATTCGTATGTCATCTAAATCACCTATTTCAGTTTTAAAAAAAGTTCGTCCAAAAGTTTTACATCCAGCAGCAACTAAAGCTACTAAAGCAGAACAACAAAAAGATTATGAAACAGCCATAGTATGGTTAACTCAGCTTTTACAAAATTATCCAAAAAGCTATTCAATTTTATGTAGAAGAGCATTTGCATCTTTGAAGCTTAAATTATATTTCCAAGCTTTAAAAGATTTATCAATAGCAATCCAATTAAAACCATCAAAATCTTTAGCTTATAATTACAAAGGTCAAATATTTGATGAAATGGATAGATATGAAGAAGCACTTGCAGATTATAATAGATCATTAAAAATAAGCCCAAATGATGACACTGCTCTAAATAATCGCGGTGCTACTTATCGTAAAATGAGTAGATATGAAGAAGCACTTGCAGATTATAATAAATCATTAGAAATAAGACCAAATAATG